TCGCAGATTGTGCACATTCAGGATCATGCTCAACAGCGGAAAAGGATACTCTTCCGGGCCTTCTCATACAGCGCGGACTTTAAACTGATTGCTGGGGGCTTCAGTCGTAGCGAAGTCAGCTGAGTGGCTGGTTGTTGTCCACAGCCCTTCAATCAGATATTCACTGTGATAGATGTCTTCGTATGGAAACAATACACCCACGCGCCCGCTCATGGACACATGTCGAACCTCATATTTTCTCATGACATCACACCAGTGACTACTCATGTTAGGATGAATTTTCCAGTAGTAATCGCTGAATGGTGTTCTATTATCTACCAATCCCAGCACTCGAAACGTGTGGCGAACAAGCCTCACGGAATATTGAATGTAGCGGCTGCAATGATGCAGACCGAAAACTGCTAACATAGCTGCCTAGGCTCCCCCCTTGAGATGGCCATTTTGTTAACGGCTCGCTGATAACCACGCTGACTCTTTTCCACGGGAGTTTTGTGTCGTGTCCGGGCACCGGTTCTCCCGTGAAAACGGTGAAACTACAAAATAGCTGCTCAGAATACATCCCGCCAGTATACCACAAAAAGCACAGGCGACTGTCGGGCCTGTGCCACCCCAGTGAGGACCCATCCTAGTTGCACTCAACGTATGAAACATTCGAAACACCAGAAAGCCTACATGTTAGACCGATCTAAATGGGGGAGCAGAGGCCTTTAGAACTAGCTCGAAGATTTATAGTATAACATCACCTCTTAAAAACCGTCTTCAACCGAAAATAGGTATGAAGTGTTTGCTCTGCAATGAGATAGGCTACGACAACACAGCCCGGATTTGAAAACTACCCGGTGACTGGTTTGCAACTTTTAGTATGGCACCGAGCACCACTACCAAAAGCGTACCAATGTACAGTAGCCACTCTGCAGCTGTCGTGTTTGCAAGCAAAAACGTAGCTGAAGCCATTAAAAGACCCAGGCTGACAGTAGCCTTGTGGAACATAGGTAAGGCATCCCCTGAATCTGCTTAAGCTGTTCACTGTACCGTTGGAAACTGACACATCCTACTGAATGGAAAATTACGTCCATAATTCCACGCCGTGAATATGGAAACAAGGCCAGTGTTAGCATTCACAGGCCCACGACTGAAAACCGGGTCCTTTCGCGAATTATGGAAAAGATTATGAAAGGCAGCATGTCTGAATACTTACTTTGGTAGGGTTTCTGCAACAAAACCTCAGCATGGCTCATGAAAAATGGGCCATGCGTCACATGTCATTTTGACTTCTTTGACCTCATTGTTGATGGTCATGAGGCCCAGGAAATGGTCATTGTCGTGTACTCCGACGTACCGAAGGCATTCGACATTGTTTTGCTTGGTATACTCTTTTAGAGGCTTAATGCAGTTGGTGTTCGAAATCCCCTGTTAGGCTGGTCGAAATCATGTCCAGGTGATCACACACAAATAACTGAAATTAACTCAGCTTTATCCACTCCTAGACAAGTGGCAAGTGGAGTTGGGCGGGGTGGCGTTCTGGGGTCACTTTTGCCTATTATCTACATGAGCATTGTTTGCAGTCTGTCTGTCACGCGTGAAGTTTTTTATAAGCCGTTCGCTCTTGCCCTGGCCACGAGTTAAATGATGTTATGACCGCGATTCGACGTGATGGACATCTGAACGCTTTTGACGCTACCTCACATCCACCATCTCCTCAACTTCAAGAGCGACAATCCAGCAGCACACGAAGCCAGTCTTATGAAAGCATTTTTACGAAGAGAGAAGTCACATTGTGTTACAGCAACCTTACGGATGAGAGGGGACATCTATTCTACTGCTGTTCTCCTAGAGGGCGGTTGCCCACACAACTTCATCATAAGATGTTCATATCATTTCTCGCCAACCTCGAAAGCCTACTGACTGTCCTACCCTTCATGAAGACTGGCGATACAATCATGGCCACGTTACTGAATCTTTTTAGAATTACTGCATCTCACAACTCCACGAGATCCCTTCACCCTGTCTAATGCCATCCGAAAGTCAAAACAACAAAGGAAGACAAACTAAACAATATCTTGAACGTACACCGCAGAAACTGTGACAAACGCTACATCGGGCACGGTGGTCACATTTTTGCGATCCATCTATATGAACGTTAGCTAGCAGTGAAGTGTCATGATATATAGTTGCTCAAGTAAACGTGTGTCGATAACTGTGGACACCAACTTGACTGGGAAAATGTGATATCTTCGGGTGGTAGAATGCAAAGGAGTCAACAAAAGTTTTAGAATCTTGACATTCAGGTCGGTCGGCAGTTGAGAGATGCTGGCATTACCCCGTCTATCAACCAATGAGGAAAAAAGGAGGGTCACAGCTCAGGTAATCGGGACAAACAAACGATATAAATGTAGAGACAGTGACAAGTTCTCGGCAGAAACTACCAACGACACGCAAGGCCAATGGGTCCATCACGGCTACCGAAAGGGCCTCAAGGTCAGGACACCTGGCTTTCTGTAGAGGCTCTTCAGGCGCCTCTAAGACAAATGGAACCAGCGCCTGACCGGTAGATCCGTACCAAACCCGAGTCTTTCTCTTAGGTTGCGCTGGAAATGTATGCAGGTGCCACAGATAGAATAGAATACTTTCTGTGAGTCTGAGGCGCCAGGCCGTCATCATTCATCCACTCTGCAAGCAGTCCGAGATGCACTTAGTTCTACCTTGAATGTCGCAGCTCTACAAAACCTAGCATTGTTAGCGTGAAGTGAAATCGAAGGGCTGTGACTCAATAGGAGTTCGTTCACAGGGAGAATGAACGGCAGCGAACCCAGAGTTGGTTTTTGTATTACACCCGATGGTGGTACCCTCCAAGTTAATAAAAGCGCACTGACTTTGATTTGGAGTTCCCTGCCGTCTAAATATTATTGCGGTCAGGTTATTGTCTGACTGCTGATCCTCAGTATTGCTATTTTGCGGTTGACAATGGCGTGTCAGACCGTTCCGAAGGTCAGGGAGAGCACATGAACAGGGACTTAAAGACCCAGGCACGCGGCCTAGCTGTCACCGTCTACCAGAATGTTTGAGGCACGGAACCTGCCCCTTCGGAAACCGTTCTGAGCATCATTTTGTGCTCTCTTTTTCCCTAAGCACTCTATGTGGCGGTCATCTACAAGGTCCCTGACTACTTTCGGCAACACTGGTAGAAGTGCCGTAGGTCGGTGACATTTTAGATTCTGGTTGTCTCCTTTTCTGAAGATAACAGATAAAATAACAGGTTTCCACTCTCATGGAAGTACGTGTCTGTCCGGGGATTTGGAAATAAATTGCAGGGCAGACCATACAGGGCTTTATTAACATAGACATTCGAATGTTTTCACGTTCTGGTGATTTTTGTGAGCGGGACTTCCGGGTTTCCGAGGTCCATAGTATATGTCGATTCTATTCCATGCGACTCTTCAACATTGGATAACGCTAGGGGTTGCTTAGGCAATTAGCGATTTCAGTTGGATGGCAGAACGCTGGCATCCTAAGTTTAGTGAAGTTATCTTTGTTCGGGTCCTTCACAAGGTATCCTTCCTGGAGGCGATTTTTCTCTCGACCATTAACCGATATAGATTCTTTGAGTCCACCTTGAGGGTAATAAAGGCTTGCCAGGAACGATCCCGTGTCCCTTTTCTGGTCGGCGTTATGTTGCGCCGACTCCTTAGAGCCATGTGTGCACCTCGATTTGATTCCTTTCTAGAGATCATCCAGTCATGCCATACCCTCGTCTTGGCTTACGGGCATTCACTGCCTCTTTCAGCCATGCTGTTTACTTCTTCAGTGCTACTGTGACCACTACGATATTTCTGAAAAAAGCAGTCCTAATGATTTTCCTCATGAGTCCCTTGTGCTGGTCTTTCCATGAGGCACTCCACCCCTGGGTCTATGGCGCTGTCAACACGCATCAATCGATTTCCTTGCTGTAGCACAGACAAGGGCGAGATCCTTCCCGTGATGGTTGTTTACTGAATACTGGATCAAGCACTACCATATCGTGATTGCAGCTGCCAATATGGGTTTGAACCTGAATGTTTTCTGCCACCAGATGGTCGCTAGTAAGGGGATAGTTCAGTCTGCATTTATCTCCTCTCAACCCCTACGAGTGTCGTCACCGACATTTTCATGTATTCAAGACTTTTTGACAGCACTGGGTGAGTTTCGGTCGAACGCCTGGCTTGAGGTCATCCTGTCCCATCCAGGGCTGAGAGTTCGGGTACTAAAATCAGTCGCTTTGACGACTTCGTAAAAGCCTATAATCGCCACCGCGACTACTGCTTGTAGCAGCTGTTGACTCTGCCCCACGTTGCTGGTAATGGTTTTATAGACTCCCCTTACCAGGAAATTACTTCGTCCGATCTCGAAGTAGCACTAGATGGGTTGTGGGAACCCCATCATTACGGTATCAATAGCTCATTCATTTGTGAACTGGCCACCCATTAACATCACCCCTCCGCCTCGTTCCTTGGCTGCAGCAGTCGATCGAGACAGTTATCCGTTTAGAAAGTGATAGTAGTTACCAAATGAGGACCGTTTGTTCCGCAGGCAATCCCGTTTGCAAAACTGTTTGTTCTGAAAACGAAGTTTTCGACTGCCTAGGCGTATACATGATAATTTCGAGGAGATTGGAGACGGGGCCAACGACGTCAGTGCTCAGGAAGAGTGAGCACCGTAGTCATATCTAGATAATGTTGACATGACTATGGAAAACAAACTGTGTCCGAAACATGGTCAAGCAAATAGTTCTGGTCCATTGTGTGACATATCTAATAAATCATCTAAAATGGAATTACACTCACATTAAATTTGAAAGACTTCTGAGTCCATAGAAGGTGTAAAACGTAACAAAAAAGCGGAACCTCAAACCTAGAAGCAAGATTTTAAGAGCGAAAACTTCTATCTACCCACACTATTAATGTAATATGTTGGTTTTGCAATTGAACATTGAAACACCAACGTTGTTTTAATCTTGGAAAACATTGAAACTCACCATGTAAACAGAAGGAAACAAAATCAAATTATATGTCGAAGCAGTCTACTAACCGAAGTAAGACAGAAAAGAGTAAAGGGAACGCCAATGTTATTCATATCGCACAAGATGTGATTCCAGGAAAACTTTCAGAGCAAGAATGGTTTGCAGAAACTTTCAGACCTTAGTTTTAGGAATTTACTGCTTGAAGATGACTTATCCGAGAAGATATGTTATGAAGTAGTTACAGAAATCGTTGAGAATACTCTTGATGCTGCTTTTAAAGCTTATTTGAAAAGTCAACTGATACCATTCACAGTACACCAAGCGTCACTTGCTCTCCTGCAGCTCGTTGATGTAAATGATACTCTGTACTCATTAATATGTAGTTGGAATTTATGTGTTGTGATCTGGGCGAACCACATATTACCACTAGTGCTGAGTGGGCTGAGGATGAAGGTATTCTTCTGGCTTTATGACTGATTTTTTCAGTCGCTAGTTCAAGTAAAATAGATTCCTGGGCTCAGGGAGCAATTTCCAAGACTTTTCATGCAAAACTCTTAGATAGAGTAATAAGCCCAACGAAGCATGATGAAGCTAAATTATGTGACTCTAAGATTATTAAAAGGTGGGTGTTTTATTTTGAATGCTGTAGTCTCATTTCTGCAAAATCGTACATTAGTCTTTCTAGCGCAGGTACCTAGTAGTTTTTGTTTTCTGATACCTATATATATATATATATATATATATATATATATATATATATATCGACCGCGAGTAACAAGAGTTAACCTCCAAAGTGAAGTAATAGGTTAGCAGACACAATTCAAAAAGACACATAGAAGCCCAGTGCATCACCTCAACGTTGCTCACTGAACAGTAACATGGGATCAATAAATCAGTAAAAATAGAGGCATTATAAAAAATGACGGAGCTAAAAGATTAGATCATACATACATGTCACAAGATATGAGAAACACGGGAGGATGCCGAAACTAAACATACCTTTACAAATGTAATCGATTCTTAGTCGTATCACTTAAGATCTTCAAACACAGTTGGCATTTGAGTCTCTATTTCTACAACAGTCACAATACGCCTACTTATTCCATGTCCTCATTAATTACAATTGCGATTAAAACTAGGAGCAAGCGGTAACGAATTTACTGATCACTAGCTTTATACACAAATTTGTCTTAAAAATTCATGATGTTTATATAACATCAATAGTGGTGGTAGAAATGTCTAATAAGGTAATTAGAATAATCTAATTATTAGCATTGGGAATTCATTTGGAATAAACCTAAATATATATGAGCACGATTTTGAGCAGTAAGACAATTTTGGTTGTCACTGAGTAACTCTCCTGAGAAAAATTACATTTTTACAAAGTGACATACTTATCAGCACATCTATAAGGCCTACTCTGCGCAGCTAATGTTATCTGTCACTGAGTTCACAAGGCTGTGTACTATCCCCCCTTGGCTACTTTAAGTTCTTCCCAGTATACTATAACCTCAGCCAGTTTAGTACGCTGAAGTGAACAGTGGCGGGATATGCGTAGCTTATGACAATTATTTTACTTGGTACAGGCTTATCAGGTCATTGAATGACTTATTTCTCCTATTAGAAATTCGTCCCTAATGGTAAGGTCAGTGTTTCTACCATAGGTATCATCAGTCTGTAACACTACCGCAGAAATGCCTAATATTATCTTTATCCCAGTTCAGTGAGCTTTTGCGTTGACGCCTTTTGTCAACAAAATTACGTCATACATTATACACAGTTAGCGAATACGCCAAGAACTACTACCTAACATCTAGTTAGCATTTACCATCCAATCTTAAAAGTAACAAAATATAAGTATCTTCATCAACACTGATAAAAGTGCCATGAGATTTCAAAACCTCTTGAATTTCTACTCAGTTAAAAAGATTGTTTATCTCTGTAGAAAGCTCAGTCATTTTTAAAATGTTTCGTATATTTTGTCGAACTTCTCAAGTTGCTTCTTTTTCATCCAAAGACTCTTGCAACAGGATGTAATTCGATTTACATTTTTAAAGGGCGGCTATAAAGCTACTTAAATTGGTATTGTAGTGAACAGTTGAGTAATAAGAGGTAACCAAAAGGTGTTTCTTCAATTGGTTATACTGTTTGTAAACCATCATTAGCGTGTATCACCTTTAGTCTTGAAAATGTATTGGCTATATGGAAGTTTTTCACTCACTGTGCATTTATAAACGTTAGCACCAAGCTCATCTCCAACTTTAAGGTCTAACTGAATGCAGTAATCAAGTTCCTCAACTTGTGAGTCACATTATGCAAGTAACTAACAGAAACTAGTGAAGACTGATGGTAACAGCAGTTAAAACTACACAAAGACGACTGGTCTTGAAAAGGTTCTCTACTGAAAGTAATATGCTGTCTTAAAACCTCAATGGTGACGGCTGTTGCCTTAGAATGAGTGATGTGAACTCAATCGTCCCACATACCATTTATCCTCACAACATCGAAGAGGTTTCTGCTGTTGGGTTTCAGAGAGGATAAAACCTAGCTGGAAGGCTTTTTAGTGACTTCTTCCTATTATATAACAAGTGCAGTCGGGCAGCATACCATCCGATATTAGATAGGATAATAAGTAAACAGGAGAGATAAGTACTGGAATTCGCCCTAAAAATTAAAGTGTAATCACACTTTAAAAGACGAAAAAGTGACTAAATGCTATGAAGTTTCGTTACATGCATTGGTATGGTTTCCTGACTTTTCTATTCGTATGATGAAAAGATTTTCGTTGTAAAAGATTCAACTAACTTCTTATCTTCTAACCGGCGATGAATCGGACGTTTATTGTTAAGAACAGTGTTGAGAAATGAATACTTATTTAGGTAATGAAATGCACTATGACTGTAGTAACATATATTCTTAGTAAGATAAATCAAATTGAACCACTAATACATTTCTATTGGAAACGTCAGTCATCAAAATTAGTAGCCTGGTTCAAGGGTTAAAAGATGTGAGAAAATGGGCTCTCTTAGAGACCGAATACTGGGTACATGACACGAAAGTAGCCTAGAATATGGTCAGCATATATGCAGCACCTCCAAATATTTAGCAATTACTAGACAGAGAATTCGTTGTGTTACGACCACCTTTAGGTATAGGTTCCCTATTAATTTAACCTTAGGTATACCTGTAGGATGGGTCTTACGTCTCAAGGTAATCACGCGCTATTAACTCTCTATGTTAAAAATCTGTTTTAACTTAATTTCTTTATTTTAGAAAGGATATCATCAATGATGGTAAGAATAAAGATGATAGTGGTATGAAAGTAGATCAACGAAGTATTGAGTCAATTGCTAAACACGATAAACCTCAGAAAAAGGTTTTAAACAAAGGTAAGTTAATTTTCACCTGTCAATACATGTACACAAACTATTATTATTATTGTTTTTTCCTTGGTTTTCTAGTGGAACATAAGGCTTCAGTAGCACGCCTCCATTCCACCCTGTTCACTGTAGTCTTTCGAACCTCGCTCCACAACTACCCACAAGCTTTCATTTCTTCCTCACATGATCTCCTCCATGTCACCCTCGGACACCTAACTCGTCGTTTCCACTTTGGATTCCACTCGAGTGCCTTGCCTGATGCGTAATGTCCTCAATTGGCCTTCTCAGTATATTCTCAATCCATCTCCACTTTCTTCTACTGGATATTTGTTGAGCGATAGGTTCTTGGTTGGTTCGTTGCCCGACCAGAATTCCTTGTTGCTTATTATTATTATTCTGGCCATCTGTTGTTCAGCAACTAGCGTAGGCATCTGTTGATGGATCACTGTAGTTTGTTGGAAATGCTTTTCGTAACGCACCAAGTCTCTCAATCATCACATAGAAGCACTGACTTGATATTCATGTGGAAAGTCCTGATCTTGTTCACGCTTTATACTCAATCGGGTGCAGTAGATCTCCACACTGATTTCACATTAATTAACGCCTGTTTCGCTTTTCCGATCCCGGTTTTGACATCCTCATCTGTGCCGCCAACATCGCCGTCACCTGTAGTTGAAACGATACTGCCGTGCTCTGCCTAGGTAAGTGGGTAGGTAGGTGAGTGACAACTTCATTGAGATTTATCCCCTTCTTGTTGACTTCTATCTGTCGCGATTGATGTTGTTGGTCGAAAACCTTCATCACCTCCCTCTTCTCTACATTCACTTGAAGTACCGTCTTCGCTGCCTCGCATCGCCTCTTCTGTTTATTTGTTAGTTTTCGCCTGTAGATCTTCGAGTTTGTGCAACAAGACATAAGACATAAATCATCATCAGCGAAATCCAAATCTCCTTCTGGGGTCTTGTTGTCCGTCCAACCAGCGTATGCCCCTCTTCTCGCTCCTCACTGTTTTTCCTCCATGGTCCAGTTCAGTCGACCACAATCAGGAAGATCATCGGTGACAGTAGGCAGTCTTGGCTTACTTCTGTCTGTTTTCACTTCAAATGCATCACTGAGCCTCCCACTGTGAATCACTTGGCATGTGCCATCATTCAGCATATAGCTGTTGAATAAGGTTGATAAAGGTTTCTGGTACTCCATAGTGTTTAGGCAGCTGCCTGACAAATTACTTCTCGGTCGACACTGCCGAAGGTCCTTTCAAAATCGATGGGGTTCAGGTAGAGAGTTGACTGCTATTCTATTCTCTTTTCTATGATGATGTGAAGTGTTTCATTCCATTTCATCCACACATGATTTGTTCTTCCTGAAGCCAGCCAGCCTGTCAGCCAGTCTGTTCAGGTCGTAATTTTAAATCCAGCGCATCCTTTAGTCTCTCCAGGATGATGCGATTTAATATTTTGCTTGCTTGTGGTAGGTAGGAGCATGATTCCATGCCAGTTCTTACAAACACTTAGGTCTCCCTTCTTTGGGAGGTTGACAAGGTAGCCCTTCTTCCAATCAGTTGGCAGGCACATTTCCTACATTCCAAACCTTCTGTAGTAGTGGTGTGAGCATGTCGGCTGCTGTTGTCTCTGCGTGTCTGTTTTCTGTGCTTCTGGTTGAATTCCATCTGGTCCTGCTGCATTGCTGGATTTCAGCAGTTTTATGGCATTCAGGACTTCGACTTTTGTCGGAGGGCCTGTGTTCACTGGTATTTCTGCCGTTGCTGGTGGTATTTTTGGACGAGTTGCAGGTGGTGGTCGACTGAAGAGTTTTTTGAAGTGGTCAGCCCATTGTTTCCTGTGCTTCTCCTCTTTGATAACTAACTTTCCTTTACTACCTCTCATTGGTTTCGTCTGAGTTGATCTCATCCCACATAGTAACCCGGTTATTTGATATAATGTTGTCAGGTCTCTCCTACCTGCGTGCTGTTCTGCTTGACTTGCCAATGTGTTGCAGAAGTGTATATGGTCTTCGCATGCACTCTTCTTCACTTCTTTGTCCAGTGTAGTGTTTTATACGTTGTACTCAGTTCTTCTTTTTGTTGTGCATCCTTGCACTGGTTCATTTTCTGCTTCACTATCTTTCTTTCCCTGCTCTATCAGCTTCCATGTGTCCGTCGAGATCCATTCCTTGTGTTGTTTCCTCTTCCTTCCTAACACGGTTATGTGGTTTCTTTCCACATACCTTTCAAAGAGTTTCAGTGTTCATCCACACAGATTTCTTTAGGGATGTTGCTCGGTATTTCACATTTTGCTCTGATGGCTGACGTGAAGATGTCCTTTGTAGTTTCGTCCTTCAGTTCAATTTCTATTTTGGGTGTTGAACTTGGAGGCTTTCAACATGCTTTTCAAAGTAGGTCCTTTGCACTAGATAGTGAGTGGTGTGAACCTACATCTGCTCCTCTTCTTGATGTGATTTTGTGTCCAGTAGGCTGCGTCTCCACTCTATTCAGATTGAGATGAAGTCGATCTGATTTTCAGTGTGGTGTGTCTATCTGGTGAAGTCCATTTCGCTTTGTGAATATCCTTGTGTTTGTGTACACTGCTTCCAATCACCGAATCTTTGAATGCGCAGAAATCTGCAAACAGTTCTCCATTCTCATTCATTTCACCAAGTGTTTCTCGACCATTGATTGGCTCTCTTCCTGTGTTGTCTGCTCCGAGTGTGACATTCATCTCACCAACTGGAATCTTGTCCAGTACTGATTGCAGCCGTCCATAGAATTCCTCCTTCTTCTCTTCATCTGCATTATTTGTTGGCGCGTAGCATTAAATGATTGTAACTTTCCTTCCTTGTGAGTTGAATCTTGCTGTCATGATCCTGATCACGGAGGAGATTGGTTCCCACTGCATGAAAGAGAGCCTTCGATGTCGTTGGGGATATCATGATAGTCACTCTCTCCGTGTGCTCGTGGTCGTCGTCTGGGTGATAATATCGGAGTAGATTATTGACTCTCTAGTTGATAGTTTGAAGAGTCCACTTTCATCCCATTTGTTTTCGCAGATTCCTAGCACTTCTGTGTCATACTTTCTCATCTCTTTTGCAATCTGGGCAGTCTTGGTAGGTTCATACATGGTGTGGACATTTCATGTCCCCACGTTTACTTTCGCTTTCATCGAGAGAAGACACATCGGCCAATTGGCTTGCCGAAGGCTTTCACCAACCAGCGTCATTTCGTCTCTTCGATTCCAGTGAGGAATAAGTTTTATTTTTATTTTTTATATTTTGTTTGTGCTTTGAAGTTTCTTCATCGGTTGGATTGGTTTTCCGGGGTAGAGTTGCTAGCCCTACGCCCAACCTTCCATGTTTACCCGGGCTTAGGACGGGCTAGTAACTAGTGAACTAGTTAACCAGACAAGGTTACATGTACACACACAAGTTACCTTTATTGATTAGTGACAGTTTTATTTCTTCTTAATTTAAATGTATTCAGTAGATGTTTTCTTACTTTTGTAAATTGATCAAAATTTTGCTAAGATTGTGACTCATACTTAAATGTGTTACATTTAAGTATACTATGGCCAGCATGGATTCATACTTTCGTTAAGTACGAGTACTTGATAAGAAACCTAGGTCCCTAATTTCATGTCCATTGGTACTTGTCACTAGCAGTTATGTTCATTTTTTCAGAAATTCATAAACTCTCTGAAAAATTTAAATATGTATTATTTAGCGATAAGTCGGTGCTTCTATATGGATCAGAAACTTGGTGCGTTACGAAAGGGATTTCCAACAAACTACAGACATTCATCAACAACAGTCTACGCTGGCTCGATACTCAAGATCAGATGGCCAGAAAGAATAAGGAACAAGGAACTCTGGCAACGAACCAACCAAGAACCTATTGCTCAACAAATATGCAGAAGGAAGTGGAGATGGATTGGGTATACACTAAGAAGGCCGACTGGGGACATCACGCCTCAGGCCAGGCCCTCGAGTATAACCCAGATGAGGAAAGATGAGTTAGGCGTCTAAGGGTGACATGGAGGGGATGGTGTGAGGAAGAAATGAGAGCTTCTGGGCTGTCTTGAAGCCAAGCTGAAAAGATGGCAGAGAAGAGAGTGGAATGGAGACGTGCTGTTGAAGCTCTATGTTCCACTAGGAACCCAAAAGACAAATAATAATCATTATTATTTAGCGATATGGTTAGAACTGTTGGAAATTCAGATAAAATATACATTTAACACCCGCTTGGTATAACAAGTCTGGAGGTGGAAACTAGATAACTCGAAATTAGTCAACTCTTTAGTGATGAATCAGTTTGATAAATCGTCACCAATATTTTCCACTATTAATAATCTAATATCGTTTAACCAATCAATAGTCAGTGTACAGTTTTGTAATGTTTAACTCCTGCTAACCAAGTAATATAGACTAATTCACCAAAAAGAGAAAATAAACTTAAGAAATTTTTAAGGATTATTAATCAGACTATCTTGGGTTGTTATTCATTGGTAGGAGGTTTCATTTATATAACAGTACTGAATATATCTGAAAGAATAGTTAAAATATGTACATAGTGGAATGGATAACCTTCGAACTAACTGTCAGGTATCCTGTTGTATGCCGTTCAGCCATTCAGCACCTTGAGGAATGAAGCAAGTGCAAAAATAGTAACTTTGGTGGTTAATAGTCCGCATATCATGAGTTGTAAGACTTGACGAAAGTCTCCCACCCTCAACTGCATAACTCGATTACTCCTCCCTATGTATGTGTGACCACACACACATGTAAATTGGTAAACACAATGGGATGTGACGTAATCACTGATGCAGTGTTTAAGTTTTTGGTGAAGCATGTTTTTGTTTTGTTTTCTCCACAATGGTAAGATTCACCGCGTAATACGTTTTCTTAATGGCTGATGTCAGCCTACATCTCAAAATGATACTATTTAGTTCCCCTCTGTATGGTAGAGTAATATAGACACTTTCATAAGAACCATGTATAGAGTTGGCTTTGGTGCTACT